AAACTACCATTTTGATCTCAATACTCAATAAGAAAAAGAACACAGACCTTGAAATCCCATGAAGAGGTCACACGTAAGGGAACTGACATACATTTTTTTATGGAGTTAGACTCAAAGGACAGTTAGAATAGGGGAAGTCCCCTAATTATGTTTGCACACTATTATTAATCAACCTGCCATATGTGAAGGACCTCTACCGAGTTCTCCACACTCGGAAATCAAACGAAAGGGAAAAAGAAAGCTTAAATGGGTCGATCATGGACGTCAATGCAGATATAGAACCCAAAATAACAAAACTTCTCACAGTAAATCTGGAAGATTGAGAAAGAGAGTCCTAAAATAGAAGTTCCTCCACCGAATGAATCTTTGACAACAACAAAACTAATTAGATCAAAGTGAAACGGAGGGAAAAACTTCAAATGATGTTTCTGGTTCGCTTGCCCGCTCTGACGACTCTAATGTTCAGATCGATTGTCAACTCTAAAACACCGAATCGCTATCCGAAATAGCAAACAAAAGCGATGAATCAGAAAGATAAAACAGGACAGATTACCAGGGGGAGAAGGGGAAAAAAAGATAAGGAAAAGACATATAAAATTACCTTCGCCTATGCCTAGCCACTGTCTCAAGAGGATAGGATTACGACGATGTTGCGGACAGTGTCTTACCTTCCCAAATCCCCATCAGCGAATTCGATTATAAAATCTCCAAGACCAGACGTGCTCTTCTGAAACAGGAAAAGAGGGCATGATCACATTCAAGGAAAATCGGAAAAACAATAACCTAAAAATGAAAATCCAAAAATCGAACCTGCTTCTTCCCCAACCCGACCGTCAATCTCTCAAACCCGACAATCAATCAAAACCTGAAACCCAACTCATATATGATTGGGGGATGGGAGGAAAAAGCCAAGGAATTGCCATTCAGTAACCGCAGGAAAAAAGGGAAAAAATGGCAGGGGAAGGAGAAGGAGGGTGGGGGAGAGAGAGACCTGAGTTCACGACGACGGGAGGAAGGTTTCGCAAAGCATTCATCTAATGGTCCAGCAGCATTTCGCTGAGATTCCACGATCAACTCAGCTCTCAGAAAATCCCATCAACTCAAAGGGCAAGAGAATCAGCATGCTCTGGCTTGAGAATCGCCCACACACCATCTTCGGATTTTGCTTCGTCGGAGAGGGATCCTCACAACCGAGACTTCTTCGTGCGGAACCGTTTGGGCAACAGAAACCAGAGAACATAGTTAAGAATATGCATCTAATCATAACAAATGTGAGAGATGAACCAAAACCATCAATATCGACTTATCACCTTCAAATGTCAGGACAAGCAAATCTGGTTTCCTTCCGTCGCCAATCTCGTTCTCCACAATGGATCCTCTTCAACATGGATTTATAACCCAAACCACAGATCTTCAGATTGGTAGCTTTTCGCTGGAATTGATGACCATCTCCGGGGCTTATGAACTCGGTGCCGGTATCTTCTAATAATGCATAGGTTGAGAGTGATGGAGAACGAATCTGTCTAGAAAAAAAACATAAGAAACCCACCTTGCGGTTCTGTGTATCCTCCGATTTCTCTCGCCCAAACGAATCTGGGATTGCTGTGGCAGATCCTTTCTTCCACCAAAATCAATAAACATATAAGAACCCTTAAACTCCCCAAACATAGAGTCAAATAAACAAAAAAAAAAACACTTACCAGACTTTCAGATTTACCGTGTACCTTCTTTTACCCACCTCCTTCCTCCTTCTCGGGTGGATTCTTCTTCCTGCCAAGATTGCCAACGGGGACCCTTCTCCCTTTATTCCACCAAAAGCAATAAACATATCAGAATTCTTAAAATCCCTAAAACATAAAATAAAATAATAACAACGCTTGCCACACTTTCATATTCGCCCCAGTAAGTTCTTCTCCCTACCTCCTTCCTCCTTCTCGGATGGATTCTTCTTCCTTCCAGCCAACCATCGCCATTGAATTGGTCGTGAGCATCCCTCCTCGTTGGCAGTCTGAATTCCACCAGTGACTTCGTTCCTTGCACCGACCTCATCAGCGAGAATATTTTTGGTGTAGAAAGTCTCAAATTCAGGATCTTCCATTGCATGTATTTCCTGAGAAACTCTAGCATGGTTCGCCTATGTACAAATGATACAATTAGAGTATGAAATTAAATGAAAAGCAAAGGAAATTATTTCTTTAACAATCGAAGTTAACTAAAAGGCAGCACTCACAACGTCAATGTTCAAAATTACAGGCTAAACAATGGCTATAATGGCGCCTGAAACTACCGAAGGAAACAATTTGTAAAATTAAATAATACATAAACTGAAACTACTTTCTAACCTGAAATATGACATGAGCAGTTCATATGTCTCCTCTCAGTATGAACTGGTTGCGGCTCGTCCTTATCACTGCCTCCCGCCTTTTACATCAGTCTCCATTCAGAAATCACTGATAAAATACACCTAAATATAAATTAGTGCACAGGGCAGCAACTAAAAATTCCTTATTTTCTAGATAGCATCACAAAATTGAATTCATATCAATAACAGGAGACGGTGAAGCTAACCTAACTTACCATTTAAGAGGAAGGAATAATTAAGATGATCGAGAACATAAACAGGTTATTATATACAAAACCTAGATTCGTGGAAGGGGGCAATACCCGTCAAAGGAAACCCCAAGAAAGACTAAACGAATCACAAAAGAAAGGCAAAATATGGGAAACATAAAGAGAGGAGAAGGTATGGCTAAAACACACCCAGATTCATGGAAAGAAGGAAAAGTTCTGAGCATACTCGAACAACGATCAAATCAACTGTGAACAAAAGACAAAGGAGAGAGAACATAAATGCATAGGTGGGATCATACCAGTAAGTGACATTGAATAAGAGTCTCGCCGAGGAAGTGGAATGTTAAAACCTGAACCTTCTCATGACGTTATAGAGATCTTCTCCGTCGTTAGCGCCACCAAGTGAGCAAGGCCTTATAGTAAAACAATCTGACCCATCTACGACCGGAAAGGCACAACAAATGTATTTTAGCTCAAAAAAATGGCTAAGATAATTGAGCATGCAGCAGGAGGGCAACTCGTATATCTGATAAGGCGCCACTTCATCACTATTAAGAGGGTAACTAATAGAAAATGCCAAAAACTTTTAAACCAAGGTACTTTATGAAAAGTACATACATGAACCTAGTTTTGCCAGGCCCTGTTGACTAAGAAGGTTTCTACCCTACATGTTTGGGAAATGACCCGAAACTTTATGCAAAACTTGGGTTTCATTAATGTACCAAAGCAACTCGAAGAAGAGGTTGACAAATCTAGGACATACAGTCAGCAGTCAATTCATGTATATAAATCGACCTTGATTACAATATTTAAATGACCCATACTACCATCCTTAAAACTTCATTGAAGGAGTGATAAGCTGATATCGGTGGAAACTACAAACTCAAAATAAGAGCCATGTATATAACGGACCCCAAAACCTCAGATCAGATAGAAAGAGGCATACAAAGAATCGGGTAATCAGTCCCGTCAACAATTCATCCTTGGCTTGCTTCCCAAAGCGTGACGATCAATTTCACTGAGGCTGCTCATAAAAGAGATGTTTCAGCAGTAGTCATAATTGACACCACACCATAAGCCAGAAAATGGTGTTCAGCTGTTCTTTATGACACCGAGCTATGGTGTGAACATGAAGGCAAATTTTTAAAAAAATATATAGTTCCAATTAGGAAACAAACTTATAGGAAGCTAAAAATATGAGGGCTTCAGAATTGCAAAGAAGAACAAACTAAAAGCAATCTAAACTACATTGATGCATATTGCTTGATTTGGAATCTCACATAAAGCTGTAATATTAATCTGTATATATAATCCAATCAATTGGAAACAAACAAAGCAAACAAGCTCCAAGACTCCCAAGCATTAATTTGTATTTTGTGGTTTCCTCACTGAAAGTAATCAAACAAACAGAGACTAAAGAAGTAAGGGGCTTCTCACCTGCGGTGACTTAAGGCGCCGCTGCGTTCTTCTTCTTCGTTAAAGTTCTAAAGAGAGAGTAGAGGTATCCCTGAACTTCCCAAAGAGTCGGTCACAGTTCGTCACTATCATTGCCCCTCGAGCCAACAGAATAAAACCTATAACTCTGCAGCCAGCTGGACCAGCAGTTTAGCAAAAGAGAGAAATATCAATTAGACTTCCGAATTGATTACCAAAGCCACAGTGCAACCCCAACTAAAGTTAGAACCAGGGGATATTTGAGGTCAATCTCCAAGATAGTTGTTTTACATTGGTTTGGGTTCTTCGCAGCACCACATGTGTTATTGTCCATCAAGCACTGTTGACCAAGCTTCTGTTTGTAAAATTGTAAGTAAAAAAAATAGGATTTTGTCAACAAAGTAGCATGCATCTGCCCGCTAATTGAAACATAAATCTAAAGAAGAGGCTTCATACATTTAACATAGTGGGTTAGCTAACTATTGAGTGCATTCAGAAGAAGCGAGAACCTGTAGAACTCCTTTCATATGATCCGTTAAAATAATGACTTTAGTAATGAAGTATGCACCGCTCCCATTACGATTCAGTTTCTGTTGTTCAAACCCACCAAATACATCTAAATCGGATATATTTGGACCCATATATCACAACCACAAAAACTAAACCCCAACCTTCTCGGCGTTTCAGCTCTACAACTAACTACGACCTCCGCGATTGAAATACTTGCTTCATATCCATGTCATTCAGTACTAACAAACATACGACCGACGCAAAATAATCAAGGCAGGTTCGATACAGTATCCTGGTCAGTATTGTATGGTTAATGATGTTCCCAAGTTCAGTAAGAACAACTAAAAAAATAAAGTAATGGTTATTCAACAACCACCTTTAGAGTTACGAAATCACAAAAGAAGTTAACTGAATTCGTAATCAAGTGCTATACTCATAGAGGAAAAGCATGACTGAAATTTGAAAGAAGAGAGACAGGAGAATACCATAGATATGTCAAAAGTCATTGGTTGGTGGATAGTAAATTGGACTTCCCGGCAAATGAGGGCTTGGATCAAAGGAGGGACTTTCCATCTGTCATAGTAGTTGCTGCTCCCGCTGTATTTCCTTTTAGGTTATAATAAATCCATTGTTCCTTGAAACAGAGAACAATCTGAGTTTCATAAGGCCATACAACAAAAGTACAAAACAAAAAAATTTAAATTGGCTAGTGATGTCTGAGGTAGACTATGGCTGCATTCTAAGTGGAACCACATTGTACAATGATCACAGCCATGGTTGGCAAGATTTGAGAAGGCAACGTCCACTCCACTGTTGTTTTAAATGGTACATAATACATGCATAATTGTTTGTCGGTAAACATTTGAGAATGTGTAAGTTGTAATCAAACACTAAATTTACATTAAAAAAAACCACCCACCGGGAAAGATTATTTAAGATATTAAAAGAAGATTAAGTTGAGCACCTAATATAAATCAGTGGCATTCAAATCAACTGTGTTTGAAAGCAACAGAGAGCACAATTACTTGGTGCTCATATTAAGCTGTCGTTGACCTGGTAGGAATATAGCTTGAGATAAAAACAACTCATTGATTAGCAGGGAAAATAACATCGTATTCTGTCAAATATCTAAGTATTGGTTTCTGAGGCATTCAACTAACTTCAATTAGAGTAAGAGTAGGGAGGAAATTGCATCTGAATCTGAATTCTAACAGACCAAATTTCAGAACTCATTCAGCTAACTTCATGGTAAAGAGGAGCAGGAAACTAACATTTTTTGTTCTTAATTATAAAAGAAGGGGTAAAAAATAGAGGTAATGGCAAAAGATATTCAACCTAACCTCTCCCTTTCCAAAGTTTAATCTCATGCAGCAAGTACTTTATATGGTCCAAGAGCGTAGCTGGGCAAATCAAATGGAACTGTGTCAGGCAAAATAGCATGTTTCCTTCAAAAGATTAAATTTGAAAGCGTAAATAGCTAAGGCACTTCAACTGGAAAGCAATCGATTACCAAAATGGGATGCCGCTGAAATTCGCCATTACGCAGAATGACAGTAGGAAACCGGCAAAACTCTGAAGTAGCTTAGTTTTGTAACTGGACCAGAACATAAGAAACCTGAAAAGTAAGAGTAGAACTATATAAATTCACAAAATTAGTTTGACCCATCATCCCCATAGCTAATGCAGCAAGCATACTTCTGAAATATATCTTTTCACAAACGCTGCTCTGGGATGGCAGTGAATCTTTCCATTGCATGTGCATTGGTTAAGGGAGTTCAACGGCATCAATTACTGGATCTATAACAGATGATAGCGAGAAGTTACCTGAAACCGAAAGTAACACCACATAGCCACCACGTAAGGAAAACTCCAATGTACTGGCCCCAGTTCTCATAATCTTCGAATTCAGGGCAGCACAATTTCGTATAAGAAACCAGCAACCAGTCTCGAATGGAAGGAAATCAACCCTTTTCGTCCAAGACATAAGCAATTTCCTTAACATTGCATATCCACAACCTGCCATACAAACGATTTATGTTCCTGAGATACCACAACACCCACCAACCAATTCCATATCATTAAAAAAGATGGAAACAATGAAACAAAGAAGACCTAAGTCTTACCTTGCTTGCATATATGAACAGGGAAGATGTGCTTATTCAATGGGGCAAATCCAATTCAACAGCAAACAACTCCTTATTTGCGTTCCTCCTAACCCATCCCATATCACATGGCTGGACGGAAACAAACACCAGAGTAAAAAGATAAATTATCTAACCGAACAACAAAAAAAAGGGCTAAACGCAGCAGAAAAAGTTAAATGACATAAACAGAAATGAAACCAGATAGATAGCTCTAGAGATAATAAAAAAAACATGGGAATCTGCAGTTGGCACTAACCAATGGGCAATGTTACGGGTTTTTTGAGCGCTGTGATGCAACGTCCATCTTTGCATATCGAAGGAGCCTGTACAGAAAGGGGCAGGATGGCCGGGAGTCGGATGGAATCCAGACTTACTTAACCCAGATTGATTTGTTCCTGATCATACAAACCCTAGCCAGAGAAACCAAAAAAGGCGTGACTAAACTCCAATGGGAATAGAGAGAAGGAAATAATTCCACAAAAACAACTTACCGCCTTGGTCGCGGTTGACAGCAGTCCCACCGCCGGCGGCATGACATGTTCCTTCTGGCATGAGTGTAGACGAATCACTTCCTTCTTCCTGATCAAAAACCCAGGAACAAAAGATGACAAGAAGTAAGAATTAAAACCAAACAAAAAATCCAAGAATGACAATATGCAAAAAAAAAAAATGATTGTCACTCGTTGCTGGGACCATCACCGACGTCCATTGCCAACCTTCATCGTCGTTCACGCCTTCCCTTCTCTTCATCGATCCAAAAGGACGTTCTAACCAAGTAAGAGAACAAAGAAAAACAGAAAAAATAAACGAACAGATTCGGAGAAATAAGATCGGCGGCGTTAAGAACACTAAAAACATAAGAAAACTCACGATCTAGCCAACCAGGCGTCGAATGACTCTCCTTCATTGGCAAGTTTGCCGCTTCATGGGCGATTTCGGAGATTTGAGATCGCAGAGCGCGAAAGAGACGACGTCGGAGAGAAGAGAGAAGGAAGAGCACAAGTGAGGTGGGGTGGGGTGGGGGTTCCTTCTTCTCCTGGTTCTTCTGCTTCCTGCGTCTTCTTCTTCTTCATATTCTTCCTTTTTTTTTTTGTTCTTGTACAGAGAGAGGGAGAAAGAAACAAGTGGGTTGTTGGTTTCTGTAGAAGGAAGAGAAAGAGAGAAGAAAAGTTGTGTGGCTGGGAAGAGAGATGGGAGGGAAAAGCAAAAAAAATATCTGTAAAATTTCCAAACAAGTTCCCAAAGTTTCTTTCAATTTCGAAATAGGCACTTGTGTGATGTGACTCTACCAAACAGTAACATGTAGTTTGTTCTTTTAAAGAGATCCACACCCGACCCAACAAAAGCGGGTAAAATTCGTTCCCGACCCAAAATTCGGCAACACCGAGACCGGGTCGAATTAGATTGAATATAGCTTTTAACAAAAGCGACACACAACTCAATTCGTTACTTACAAAAGTTGGTAAAATCTGTTGCCGATAAAAAAGTCGGCAGCACCGAAACCGGATCGAATTAGATTGAGTACACCCGACTCAGCAAAAGCGGGTAAAATTCGTTCCCAACCAAAATCTGGCAACATCGGGACTGGGTCGAATCAGGTTGAATATAGTTTTTAACAAAAGCGACAGACAACCCAATTCGTCATTTACAAAAGTTGGTAAAATATGTTGCCGACCAAAAATTCGGCAACACCGAAACCGGATCGAATTAAATTGAGTACACATGAATTTAGGTACATAAAAAGAAATCATTAAACATAAGATTAATGAAAGAGAGAGAGAGGGAGGGATGAAGATTGATGGAGGGGGGAGGAGTTACGGGAGTGGTGAAAATGAATGGATGGGAATAAGTGCAGGAGAGAGGAAAGGAATAAAGAAATAAAACATAATTGCATTTTTAGTCCTCAGTAAAGTCTTGGTTAATGGTTAATTACAAAAGAGAGCCACCTATGCATGTCAGAACTCAGAAGAAGGGCCAATCAGAAAGGAGAACAAGAGGCAAAAAAGCAAACCAAGTCACAGTGTTTGGATGTGACTCTACCAAACAGTAAACTTGTAACTTGTTCTTTTAATGAGATATAATAATTTACAAAAGTTGGTAAAATATGTTGCCGACAAAAAATTCGGCAACACCGAAACCGGATCGAATTAAATTGAGTACACATGAATTTAGGTACATAAAAAGAAATCATTAAACATAAGATTAATGAAAGAGAGAGAGAGGGAGGGATGAAGATTGATGGAGGGGGGAGGAGTTACGGGAGTGGTGAAAATGAATGGATGGGAATAAGTGCAGGAGAGAGGAAAGGAATAAAGAAATAAAACATAATTGCATTTTTAGTCCTCAGTAAAGTCTTGGTTAATGGTTAATTACAAAAGAGAGCCACCTATGCATGTCAGAACTCAGAAGAAGGGCCAATCAGAAAGGAGAACAAGAGGCAAAAAAGCAAACCAAGTCACAGTGTTTGGATGTGACTCTACCAAACAGTAAACTTGTAACTTGTTCTTTTAATGAGATATAATAATTTACAAAAGTTGGTAAAATATGTTGCCGACCAAAAATTCGGCAACACCGAAACCGGATCGAATTAAATTGAGTACACATGAATTTAGGTACATAAAAAGAAATCATTAAACATAAGATTAATGAAAGAGAGAGAGAGGGAGGGATGAAGATTGATGGAGGGGGGAGGAGTTACGGGAGTGGTGAAAATGAATGGATGGGAATAAGTGCAGGAGAGAGGAAAGGAATAAAGAAATAAAACATAATTGCATTTTTAGTCCTCAGTAAAGTCTTGGTTAATGGTTAATTACAAAAGAGAGCCACCTATGCATGTCAGAACTCAGAAGAAGGGCCAATCAGAAAGGAGAACAAGAGGCAAAAAAGCAAACCAAGTCACAGTGTTTGGATGTGACTCTACCAAACAGTAAACTTGTAACTTGTTCTTTTAATGAGATAAATTGTGAAATAGTATAATACTGGTGATCTGGTTGGAGATTTTTTTCATACTAAAGTTTAAATTGATAGATTATTTTTAATGGTATAAAATAGTTGAACAATGGGATTACCAGGGAAATAGTTGAACAATGGTGGTTTTAGTTTCAACAAAGCTATATCCTTCCTCATACATAACATAGCGGTTTGAATCATAGCTTTGCGAAGGCACCCATTGGCAACTAGCCACAAACTTTTTCACATGAGGCACATACAAGGTTGCCAACTCGATTTAGCATGTTGGTCTGATTGAAAAAGTGGGTTGAGGATTAATGATTCGATCGCTTTAATATGATTTAAGCTTTGATACATGAAAACGTTATTATATTGTTCATACATTTATAGACTATATCAAATTTCATATAACATATGACTAATAACGTTACACCAAAATAACAGTTCGTACTTGGATCCAACATATAATGAAAATTCAAACACACTGTATAATATCAGTATTCAATGTTCAACTTAGAATTCCAATAATAATGGTTGGTTGAAGTGGAAAACCGGAAAAGAATTACAATTCGCAAACACAATAAAAACAAACTGTATTACTTCAAATCTAAAAATCTTATTGCAGGTAAGTAAACCCACATATGTTTTGCACTCGTTTTCCTCATCCGGTCAACCCATTGGTTGATAATCTTGGTCACCTATTTCTCTGAAAAAACCAGTGCTGTGAAAACCGAGCCGAGCCGGCCGGCCGGGCCGCCAAAACCGCCAACCGGACTCAAAACCGGCTCGGATCAGCTATTTAGCCGGACTGGTTCTCTGGGGCGGCCGGCGAGCGGCCGGAGCGGTTAAACGCTCGAACTGGTCATCCGGTTTTTTACATCCGGCCGGTTGGTGTAATTAAAAAATAAAAAAAAACTAAAAGCCGAAAAATTAAAGGGGATTCTGGGTCGGGGTCGGGCAGAACCCTAATTCCCAAATTTCTTTCCCAATCTTCTTCTTCGTGGAGAGTCTTCTTCTTCGTGGAGAGCCTGCCCTGGAGACAAGAAGCGCCGTCGCCATCGCCATCTTCTCCAGCGCCGGCGCCATCTTCCCCAGCGTCGTCGCCGTCGCATCAGCTTCTCGTGGTAGGCATTCGAAATCCACGACGTGGAAACCAACAACTCTTCTTCTTCTTCATCGATGTATTATTCCCCTGTTCTTCTTCTTCTACCTCCTCCAGAGTGGATTCGAGAATCGCGAGATTCGCCGCCATGAACCCGAGCTTGAAACACGGGGAGAGCTCGTACAGCAGCTGAGTTGACGCGGCGTGCTCTTTGCCGTACAGCTCCGCCACAGGCGGCGGATTCTCCGCCGGATTCACTCTCGATTTCAGCGCTAGAAACCACACGAATTCCCCTGGTCCGAATTCCATCAGCCTCTGCTCCGAATTCCCCTTTCATCCGCTAGAAACCACACGAATTCCCCTTTCCTTCGTAAATCGAGCTAGGTTTAGTATAAGCTGGACATTTGGGACTTTTGCTTGAATTGATTGTGAACTTGTTCTCGTGGTGGATGTAATCTGATTGTGAACTTGTTGGAATAGTTAGCAATTTGGTGATGGTTTAGTCCCTGTCCCATTTAGAAGCTAGAATAGTTAGCAAATTGGTGATGGAATTGTTGGGAATAGTTAATATACAGTTGACTGTTTATTAGGTACCGGTTCTCAAACGGTTTTTAAACGGTCTAATGCCGGCTGGACCACTAAAGACCGAGCCGTTCATGTTTCCGGGTCGTACTCCGGTTCGGTTCTGACAACATTGGAAAAAACAGTGGTTAGAAAAAAGAAGAAAAAAAAAAGATCGCCCACCGTGGGGCTCGAACCCACGACCACAAGGTTAAGAGCCTTGCGCTCTACCAACTGAGCTAGACGGGCTGGATGCTCTTAGTGTCCATGTTTTTTCCAACTCTGTTATGCTAACCGGCGGACCGATCCGAGCTTTCAATTTTCAACAGTCTCCCACTAACTCGTAGTAAAAAATCTTGTCTTGGTGCCTTCAAGCTTCCGCTGCAGCCGATGGCATAATCGTGTAGGTAAACGGCTTAACGGAAACAGGGTTGACAACAAATGGAGCTCCTGTGGACGATCGCGGAGCTCTTCTTCGCCCTGATTCTCGTCCTGGCTTCGTTGTTCCTCTCCGCGATGTTCCTCGAAGCCTACCGAAGAAGAAACAACAACAAGTGAGTTTCACAATCCCTAATTTTGGTTCCAGTCCATTTGTACCGGAGAAATGGGTATTGGGCTGATTGGGTTTCTCTTTATTAGGCACATTGATGCTCCTGCCTTTTTTGAGGATCCGAAATCCTTGAAACAGGTTAGTCTTGGTTCTTTCAGCTGATCTAACTCCAGCTGCCAATTTGTTGGAGTCTTGTGTCTTGACAGCATATTGCTTGGTTGCGTAGGAAGGTGTTTTCATTTACTTCCTTTATCGTTTCCCCGTTTTTGGCGTTAGAAATTGAACGGTTGACGAGGGAACTTAAGCTGGATATGATTGTTGAGGTGCTTGAGAAGTTACAAGGCAATAATGAAAGTGTTTGCTTAAGGAAAATGATTGAAGTGAATTGAGGAAGGTCAGAAGTGGGATGGGCGAGAATTGTGGAAGAAAGAGAGAATGTAGCTTCGAGGGTTTGGCATCATCTCCATGACCATGTGCAAGAAGCTCGAGGAGGGGAGAGTGATTTACTACTGGTTGGAGGGTGCTTGTCTGAGCGAATTAGATAATAATCAGGCAGAATAGTCCAAATGCTTTGCACAGCAAGAGAAAGGGAATGGGAGGCATTAAGCTGATAAATCTCTTAACTATGCATTGAATTAGTACCTGGTTTGGAGAATGTCTCGCGTGACTGCTTTTGACTTATGCATCTGAGTTATGGCTATAGTGAAGCTGTATTATAGCATTACTGGAGACTAGAACATGGAGAGATATGCATCTTTGTGCTGGTCAGATCTACTGGAGACTTGTACATGAACAGATATGCGTCTTTGTGCTGGTCTTTGCACTGTAGTGGTTTTGTAATCTGGTCTTCGATTTCACCATTTGGGTTAGAATAAGACTTAGTGTTCCGTAATATCGACGGGAAATATGGATTTGCTGATATATGTTCGAAGTTTATGGATCTACCTGAAACATGAAGATAGGAATTGGGCATGTTTTATTTGAAAGGAAAAGTATAGGTACCCAGAGCTTTAGCAATGAGTATGGGAAGTTGTTTACTTTTGGTTTGGATGGGTGAAAGGTTGGGGCTTGCAGATTCACTTTACATATTTGGTTGTCGGAAACTCGTTATTGATTCCTTCTCGATCATTTCAGGCTTCATGTTGTAGTTCACAGAAAATTATTTCAAGGTGTCCGCAAGATATATACTTCCTAGTTATGTTTTTCTTTTTCCTCTGTGAATATTGTTACGACGTGATCTTAAGAATGCCATTTCTTTGGAGATGAAACTGATCTACTTTGTGAGTCTTCATGACAGTAGGCTTGAATATTAGAGAGTTCAGCTGGCCTCTTTAGGATAAGCTATTAGAGTGGTTCAGTGATTTTTCCGACTGTTAGATGTAGGCTCTTAAACGACTTAATGTTGATGAGGAAGGCCCAGTCTCTTATGTGTAAAACCCTTTTCACTTTTCAGGTTCCATGTCCATATCTAGTAGATCCCGCTGAAAAGTACATATCTTTGATCATTCCCGCATTCAATGAAGAGCACAGACTTCCTGCAGCTCTTGATGAAACAATTAAGTACGTCAAAGATACTTTCCCCCCTGCTCTAATCTGATATGATAGGGTTGATTTTATATGGAAAGCTCATGTTGACTCATTGTTCTTTGTTATTACATGAAAGATGATGTTGTGTCTTTACGCTGTAGCTATCTCCAAAACCGTGCTGCAAAGGACAAGTCTTTTACTTACGAGGTATGCTTCTCTAGTTTCCATGGGTTGACAGTATCCAAGATTTGTATTTTGGATCTGGAACTTAGAGGGGTTTCTCTAATCTTAATGCACATTTAGCTATTGACAGTGTATGATATGCCTCCCGATTTCTTCAATGATACACATATGAACGTGAGCAGGTGATTATCGTTGATGATGGAAGTGCTGATGCAACAAAAAAGGTGGCATTTGACTTTGTAAGGAAATACTCGGTGGATAATGTCAGGGTTATCCTTCTTGGGCGTAATCATGGTAAAGGAGAAGCAATTAGAAAAGTGAGTCTAATCTCCCCTTGCTGATTCAGTATGTAACTAGAAAATGAATTTCAGTTTCTCACACTTGTATATCCCTTTTAAACCAGGGCATGCTTCATGCACGTGGTGAAATACTTCTAATGCTGGATGCAGATGGAGCAACAAAGGTTAATGATCTGGAGAAGCTTGAAAATAAGGTCCCTAATCTGTTGTGGCTGTGCTTTTTCGAACTTTTTGCTGTCCCGTTAGTCACCTGAAACATATATAGAAGTTTGTAAATTCACTTTTGATTCCAACATTTTCTATATTATCAGATCCGTGCAGTTGCAAGTGCTGAAGATACTAAGGATGGGACGTCAGGTTTTAGGATAGCTGACATCCCAGTAGCAGCATTTGGTTCCCGTGCTCATCTTGAAGAGAAGGCTTTGGCAACAGTTCAGTCTAATGATCCTCTTCTTGCTCGTTTGAGTGTGTATCTCGGTTTTGCTTGTCATGAATGTTCCATTGTTGTCTTCTTTGATAAAAAAATGTTATTTTAATATTTCAGAGGAAATGGTACCGTAATTTTCTGATGAAAGGATTCCATATTGTGGTTCTCTTGGCTGCTGGTCCTGGTATTCGCGATACGCAGGTAAGTTCAGGATATGCTCTATAATGCTCGATTCATCTCCATTATATCTGCTATTTGCCCTGACAAAGACTGACTGCATGCAGTGTGGCTTTAAGATGTTTACAAGGGCTGCTGCAAGGAAGCTTTTCACAAATATTAGGCTCAAAAGGTAAATAATCTAATGTCAGCTCCTGAAGTGTTGCAAACTGGACTTTGCTCTACTGTTTTGGTGGCTGGTGGCTGATTTCACTCTCTGTCTTGGGACTCTGCAGATGGTGCTTCGACGTGGAGTTGGTGTTTCTGTGCAAACAGTTTGGCATCCCGATGCAGGAGATTTCAGTCAACTGGTCGGAAATACCAGGGTCCAAGGTCAACCTTTTAAGCATTCCCAACATGCTGTGGGAGCTTGCACTAATGTCAGTGGGATATAGGACCGGAATGTGGAAAATTTCCTATTGAATCTTCAGAACAGAGGAATATATACATGGACTTCCCTTGTCCACACTGACTGTGAAGGAAGGGATGGCAGTTTTCTTCCTACAGCAAAGTAAACCTTCGTAGTCCTTCCTTCCTGACTAAGCACCAAACCTCACGTTTGCACTGGGGCAGTTTAGAACAGTTCCTTGTAGAAGCAAAAACCTCTTTTGACATTTACATCTCAATCCAGGCAGGCACTTTCTACAGTTGTATCATCATATTTTTGGGTTGGTGATTCTTTTTCAGGGGAATCGACCATATTACTGATCACCAACCTTGCTTTTTATTTTTATTTTTATTTTAGAGGAAGAGTGCGACATTCGACACCCCACTCTAACCTTCATTGCTATATAATCCCAGGTTAGAAGAAGCGGATAAGTGCCGAAAACTAATGGAGTAGCCGAGTAGCCAAGTTAAGGATGTCTTTATGTCCATACAATATCGTCATTGCGTGTGTTTTTCCTGTATCTGTGAATCGGAGTTGGACCTACGATGATTCAAAGATATAATGATATTTTTACGTCAATCCTACAAGAACGCGAACAAAATTTCATACAAACGACTTGTAGTGCATAACGCACGCGCAACCCTTATTCTCTTCCCCTTGACACACCCATGAAAGGATAGAAAGAAGAAAAAGAAAAACATCGTACAACGATGACTTCACTAGTTCACTGTCTTGCAGCTTACTTCTATTTCACGATGCTAAGAAATTGTAGATCTCGTACCTCATGCTACAAAAATTGTGCGTCACCTGGCCGCCGACACTGTTGTTGGTCCAACAATTCACCAGTGAGCTATAAGCTTCACGGAAGCAGCTCTCGCAATCCGCAACGCCCGAAAGCTCGTTCTTTTTCTCACACACCCGCTTCCCAAAGGCAACCGGTTCTGCTCTCGTCGGGGAGTAAACATTCTCGTCGATGTTCGGCAGGAAATCGCCGTCCGTATACTGCAAGTCTGCAACACCCTCAACGCGTCCTTGACCGCCTGATACGCCATCGTATCCGTGAACTTTGCTGTGTTGCACAGGATCACGTCCTCCGCCGGGCTAACTGCAACTGTGTTGATAATTACGAACACCCCCAGTAACGCTAACGCACCTGCTGCCACCAACCCCATCGATCAAAACTATACGTTATATCATCTATATCTCTTGAATTAGCGACCGAGCGACGTGTCTAAGTATATATAGCTAGCTAGATGAGGAAACCAATCGAACAACCATCTTCTTGTCGCATCTTTCTGTCCGGCCGGGTGCTGTCTTCATTTCCCAACTCTAGCTGGCTGATCTTCCCATGTACGTACGACAGGCGGCGCTCTTGGACATAATCGATCGTTATGGAAAGCTAGCTAGCGACGGTCAGGTTTGATTCCAAGTTTTGGACGCAATTCACAGCATCCAAGTTCGCGGGAGTGACGACAAACCGGAAAAGGATGGGAACTGGGTTGGATGGTGTCGAGTTCAAAGAAGAGAGACTTGGGCCCGTGCTGGGCATCGCTCCATGTTCACCAACTGGCCCAATGAGCTATACAGTATAGGCAGAAACATCAATTCGGCTTGGTACTGTGTTCTGTGAAGACTGAAGATCATCACTTTATGGTCTCTCGATCTCGGTTATAATTTATACGTAGGAGACCTCTAATCTAACTTGGAGGAAAAGGGTGAGATGTGCCAAATGGATTGGATTCATGAATTTGTAGATTGGATTAGTGGATTTATGGATCCAATGGATTGATGAATTTATGAATTGAATCAAGCAGATTGGTGGAATATCCATGAAAATCCAAATTACATCTTCAACTTTAGATCAATATGTAAAATGTAAAAATTTTAGGTACTAAAATGTGAAAATTTTAGGTACTAAAATGTCAATGAAAAATCTATGTACCGAAACGTAATTTTCCAATGACATTTTCGTATAAAAAATTGAATTTTAGGTACCAAAATGTAAAATATAAAAATATAGGTACCAAATCGTAATTTGTCATTTGGATCCATGGTGAATATTTTTAATGGATTAGTGGATTGGATTGGTGGATTGGATTGAGAATTGCTACCTCTAGTAAGAAGCTTCATGCTACTTCTTTCTATAACTTTGGGCTCGAGAAAAGTTGGTTTGACATTTGGCTCGCTTACCAATCAGTTCGGCTAGATGGCTTGTTGAGCTAACTCGTGAGCTGGCTCGTTATGGCTTATGGGCTTTCTGTGGCTAGTGAGTTAGCTTGCCAAGCGGCTTAATTATGATCAATATCGATCTATAACTTATGCATTGACTTGTTGATAATTCATTGGTTGTATTTTAGGTTTGTCATAATTAAGTTTGTTAGATTACATATATCAACAGATATGATGTTTAGTATTTTGGGTAAATGAACAAATATGTCTAATTAATAATTTAAAAGATAAATTATGAATAATAATTTGCATAGCTACAAATTATTCTTAAATAAAATTATATCAACAATTAATAAACCTGCCCAGAACTTCCCTTTTAAACCCCTCCACCTTTTCTTTTCGGTTGTGAAGACTTTTTTTTAAAGGATCAATTTGATTGCAAATGGGTCAAGCCCAATAGAAAAGTACATATACAAACAGAAAGCAGAAAAGATTAAAGAAAAAAGACTCAAGCTCACAGACCCAACAAAAGAATGGAAACCCAATAGGGCCCAGACCAAGCCCAACCCAAGTCCAAATTCCCAAAACCCCAGCTGCCCAATCTGTTTGTCCCTTGATCCCTCACCGTCGCTGGCTGCCCCATGCGAACCTTCCTCCCAATCCATGGAACGGTGACCACACTTGCACCAAGAAAGCACGCCGAAGCAGAACCACCCCGGAAAGAGGACAACGGGAGGCGCAGGATCCACCTCCGGGCGAAGCCTCGCCAGACCAAACTCCGAAAGCTCCCCAACAACGAGAACAGCAAGAGAACCTTCGATCGAGAGGGCGTCTGGTGACGAAATCTTGGTGATGAACTTCTGTCTTCAGGATCTTCTCTCCGAGTCCAGGCTGAGCGCCGCATGTCCGAAACACCAAACCTGCAAGGTGAAGCAAGGAGGTGGACGAAAGGAGAGAGGAGGAGAAGACAAGCCGAAACAAAGAAGAATCGGCCTCAATTTGCATCAAAGAAAGACATCATCTCCAGATCAGATCAGAGGGCAAAACAACATCCCAACAAGGGGGAGGAAGAAAACCCACAAAGGGGAAAAGAGATCCCACTAAAGCTGGAACATGCAATAAGGAAAAAGCAGAGAAAAAACAAGACTAGATGCAGAGGACAAATTAGAACAGGAGAAGCAGGGAAGGAGATGGAAGGGAAGCAGGGGGAATGAATGGGTTGCCGCCGGTCACCAGGGGGTGCCGGCGGCACCCTTTGAAAATCACAATAGGTTACAAGTGAGAAGGGAGAGAATTCAACAAAGGAGAGAGTTGTAGAACCACTAACCAGTAATAATAATTCCGGTTGTGAAGACTGAAGAGCATTTCTTTGTCTATTTATAGGAAATGTTATGATTTCAGAAAGAGAATGGGGTTGTATATAATTCCCATTTTTGGTATTTTTCTTTTCATTAGTTTGTATTATCCAGATTACAAAAAATTTCTCTACCCCTCTCCAGTCCTCATTTACGCTTAATGTATTTTGGTGGTACACTCACAAAACAAAAATTCTTAAATAACCGGAAAGAGAATTATCCAAAAAAATCAATAATAGGAAGAGCTAAATTAATAAGAATATAATGAAAATTTGAAAATAGAAAAAAAGGAACTACACCAAGATTGGTGAAAGTAGAAACTATTTGGATTTAAAGTAGGAAAATTTCACTATGTCGTGTAGTGAAACATTAGGAGTTTAAAAAACTGTTAATTTTTATTAAAGGATTTTTTGTCAATTATATGAAAGAAAATGGAAAATTTGACAAAAGCTTTATCCTCTCTATCTACTATGAAATTCTGTCTATCACTAATTCATTTTTCACCTCTACTCAATCCCAATATATAGCAATAAATCATTCCGACCAAGCGCCCGGACACCAACTAGTTTTCCTTATATAGTTGCGGGGAGCTGCTTAGGTTTAGTAGCAGTAAATTGATCAGCAGCTTCACCCGGGGAAGTTGACCTTTATTAATTTCTCTTGGTTTCATTAATGGCTACGATCATGACAGCTGGCTCCCTGACTTGTAACAGTTTAACATTGATAAGAGAAGGGTCTGCCAGGAGTGGGCTTAATTACCACAGGAAAGACTGATAAGTTGAACTGAGCTCGCATGTTGATTGATCGATTAGAGCTAGTAACCCGAACCAAATAAGAGCAAATGTTTCAATAAAGGTTAATATTTTCGTATGGCCTGAACTTTGACCAAAATAAATATCTTGGCCAATCTTTTTGATCTATAACATCCTGGCCCGAACTATACACCAAAATAAACAATTTGGTCAGATCTGATTTTTGACCGTTAACTTGGACGGTCAAACGCGTTGACTGTTAGTCAACGCGCCATGTCACTGCCAAGTCAACATAAAATATTTAAAATAATTCACAATTTCCACTCATTCCCTAATTTTAAACTATTATAAATTAAAAAAATCATCTAATACCTTAGTTAAACCAAAAATAAAAAACGGAAAAAATTAAACATTTATCAGATCTTCTGACTTGGCAGTGACGAGGCAGTGACGTGGTGAGTTGACCGTTAGTCAACGCGTTTGACCGTCCAAGTTAACGGTCAAACATCGGGTTTGGCCAAATTGTTTATTTTGGTGTATTGTTCGGGCCAGGATGTTATAAATCGAAAAGATTGGCCAGGATGTTTATTTTGGTCAATGTTCAGGCCATACGAAAATATTAACCCTTCAATAAACGCGCGAGCTGAATTCAAACTTGACTACACACTTATTAACAAGTTGAGCTCTAATTAACCTATATCAAATCTCAACTTAGCTCATTTGCAACCGTATAGATACACACAACAATCAAATCATTCAACAATCTTAAAAATGTTTTTCCTTCTAGAAACAACATCATTACTAGCAATCGATCCACTACCACGCCTACACAAAAGCGCTCCCGGCTACCATACGGAACAAAATGGACAGACAGAGTATATACACATCCAACCTGACTTCTTTCCTTAACCACCCAATATTCCAAACTCCATTGAAAACACATTAATAAAAATATACATGGCAGCCTTTATTTACAACAGCCCCAGTAGAATGTGGTTCGTCAATGAACTCCTCCAGCCAAATCGAAGAGCTCATCAAAGCTCCACATATCCATTGTGTTATTCCCACCATCCTCCATTGTTGATGTAGTTGTACCATTAAGCAGATTCTCAAGGGAAGCCTCCCAGCTGCCTCCTTCCATATACTGCATCATCTCAAGATACTTGCTACCATTATCAAACCCAAACAGCTCCTCTCCTCCCTCACACTTAAACCCTTTGTTCTCCTCCTCGGCAGCACCAGCAGAGTTGTTGCAGTTCTGTTTCTTGCTGGGAACGGCGCCCTCGGATTCATTGAATCCAGGCCCAGCTTGAAACACAGACTTTGGGCCTTCCTGCTGGGCCCATCCAAAATCACAAAAATCAAAGGAATTATTGCTCCCCAAATCTGAACCGAGCTGCAGGTTCAGTGATGGTTTCTCTTCCACGTAGCTCATAGAGTCGAACAACTCTTGCTCGGCATAGTCCCTGCAGTAATCGGGCCCCCGATGAGCTTTGCTCCTTGTTGGGAGTTGCTTAGGATTTGAAGCAGCAAATTGAGCAGCAACAGGGAAGTTGACCTTGGCTTTCCTGCCGCGGATTTTGAGAGCCTCGGCATCATAAGCTCTGGCGGCTTCTTCGGCGGTGCCGAATGTTCCAAGCCAGACGCGGGCTCCTTTCCTCGGATCGCGGATCTCTGCGGCCCATCTGCCCCATGGACGCTGCCTGGTTCCCCTGTACGGGCTTTTCCTCTTCATCTTTGCGGATCTCTCAGCTTGACCGCTGAATTCCACGGGCTTCACAGCTCTGGATCCTTCAAAATGTATATCACAAATTCAGTAAAAGCATATCACAAGTTCTCTAAAGGGTACGGAAAAAAAATCTCATAAAGTATATCTCAAGTTTCATAAAGTAAGAACCACAAACCTCATTAACCATACCAAATTTTTATTGAAGTCAGCATACCAGAATCTCATAAAAATATAGAATGAACCTCATAAATCAGCCCGCAAATTTCTTAAAGCATACCTGGAATCTCACAAAATATATCACAAGTTTTTTTTTAAAGCGCGATAAGAAACCTCACACCGTTGGACCTGTTTGTAAAATTTAAAAGGTTTAGGTATTAAAATATCAAACAAAAAAAATTAGCTATTAAATTCATAAATATTTTCAGGACTTATATGCATAATCACTAATTTTATATAGTAAATTTTAAACTTATTTTAAGTTTAGATATCAAACTGTAATTTGCCTATAAAAAAGAAAACATAAAGGAACACCTAAAATGAAAAGGAGTACTACTATGACCTATGAGTAGATGGTTACCGTAACATCCTTAATGAATATAATATATTAGCACGGCGGTGCTAAGTCGCTAACACCCTTCGATCCCTGCCAATTAGACAACTCATAAACGCAGTCTATACATTTTCCGGCTGGACCAAAGCTTGAATTAACTCGAATGGAGGATGCCCAAAAAACTACGCCCATGCATAATGCCACAAACCCGAGATTTTTAAAGAAAAGGGCACCAGATTATAGTTACCGCGGGAAGCAGCGGAGCAACGAGCCGGAGGAGGAGGAGGAGGAGGAGGAGGGGCTGAGAAAGCGAAGGGCTTGACGTCCACATCATAGGCGTCCTCGTCCACATCGAAATCATCCACGAATTCGCGGAAATCGGCCTCGAAATCGTCGTCCAGATCTATGACGGCGGGCTTGGCATTCGCCTTGTTGTTGTTGTGTTTGACTGAGTTGGACTTGAGACCGGACCAGGAGAAATCGGCGGTGAGCTTCCTGGAGTAGGAGCGGCCACCGCGGGCGGTGGGAGGTACGAAGTCGGAGATGATTGCACCGCCACACATGGTGGTTCTTGTTGCCGGCGAGAATTGGAAGTTGCTTTGTTGGGTTCGATCGAGAGAGATCTAGAAAGGTGATAATTAGTTGTTTTGGCTTGTTTGGATGGCAGGAAGGAAAATTAAGGAAGAGTGGTTTGGTTTATTTTCAAGGAGGGAGGTTGGGTAGTAAATAATGGGATAAAAGAAGACGACAAAAGTTGATGAAGTTACAGTGCTGTCCCTCCCCCTTTACCATTTTCCTTATTAACTATGAAGCTTCATTGTTAAATGCAAATGGTGATTTAATTAAGCAAGGAAATGTAAAGTTTCGATTCCACTTGCTTTGAATCATTTGCTTTGCTATAATTAAGTTTGTCATATCGTGTCGACTAGTTGTATTTGTTTGATTATGTATTGGTATAACTTCTTTAATATTGACAAGTTATATTATGCTAACACATAAATTGCTATCATCATATTAACGTCAATCGGAGCCTTGAGATTGATCAAATTATAGAGATTATTTAGAAAAATAATGCTCAAGCATCCCTATTGAAGTCGGTGACGACGTCCCATCGACTAGGGCTAGCTATTTGGTCTGGATTTTTTTGGTTTTATCCGAAACCGGATCGTATAACTCGGGCCGAGACCGGACCGGGATCGGATAGTAAACAATCCAATCCAATCTTTGGGCTTAGATTTGAGGTAAAAAACCATTCGAGACCGGATCGAAAACTGGATAAAGACCGGATAAGAGAGCTCAACACCCAAAACTTAAGGGTAATTTGCATAAATGGTCACAAACCTTTGCACTTAGTACAAAACTTAACCAATTCCTCACCCTTTCAGGACTTAGGCCACTCAAATCCCCACAAACTCAATATAAAATCAAGACCGAGTTGGGACCGGATCGGGTCAAGACCGGACCGGATCAAAACCGGACTATATCTAATCCAATCTTTGGTCCTTATATTTTCAAAAAGACCGGACTGGATCGGATCAATTTGAGTCAATTTAACCGGACCGGACCGTATAGCCACCCCTACCATCCAGCATCAATGTCCCGCTTTTGACTCCATCATCCGTCATTGTTGTCGTTCGAATTCATGGGAGCCTAAACTTAATTAACTAGTTCAGTATTTTTTTTTGTACATACAGTAACTTAGGGGTATCTTTTTGTTATTTTCCCTAAATATGGACCTAGCTAATTGTCAAAGGGCATATATAGATGTTGTACCCAACCCTCTCCTATATGTAACACAGTAACAAAAGGTTGGGTACAAGACTTGCAGTACTCAATTGCTGCATATAGTGAAATCCAACCTGAGAGCTCTAGCTCTCCGTGAGGCTAGTCCCGATCATTTGAAAATCACGTAAATCTCCATCTTCTTTATTTTTCGCACTCCTTTACATAACTCATCCACCATCCACCTAATTCAACTGGAAGAAAATATGGGCGAATAATGGGTCACAAATATTATTGCATAACCTTGAGTACACAGATGATCCGTTGAATTTTAGACGAGATCCTTTCCGACCGACCCGTGTATCATGTCGATCCCATGCCTGGGGTTTACCCCATGGATGATGAAGACGAGGGAGGAGGGGAATCAACTATTTCCGTACGTACATATTATTATTGTATACTGCAACCGGAGGGATCAACTTGCTAGCCTAGTTGTTCTGTTCTGCTCTGACGACCAAAAGGATCGAGTTGTTGTCCTGATATCTATATATATCCAGTTAAAAAACAAACCAGTTGAGTTGAAGCTCGATTCAGCCAGGCATATTTGGCCCGGTAGATAGAGCTAGGTAGTGCATATATGATATATATATCTTCCTTCCTACCTAGTACCTATTCAATCGGAGAATCGGAGAACACGTAACGTCAATTGTCAACTTGTGTGAGCATATTTATATATACGCTAACCTAAGACTTTACCTCACCGATCCGATAAGAATTCAACTTAAAGTGGAATTGCTCACGTACCCTGTTTTGCTCAAACCACTCATAACCAGTGGATGATACTGGTTTACTTTCTTTTATATACACACATGCATATGTGGATGATACTACTACGCTCCTGGAATACAATGCTCTAGATGCTCTAGACCATGAGTTCAAACTGGATTTGGGGGTATGATACGATAATTTAATCTCTAATGGATAAACTATAGGCCTAAATTCTAGGGGTGGCTATACGGTCCGATCCGGTTAAATTGGCCCAAATGGATTCGATCCGGTCCGGTTTTTTTGAAAATATAAGGACCGAAGATTGGATTGGATACAGTCCGGTCATGATCCGGTCCGGTCTTGACCCGGTCCGGTCCCAATTCGGTCTTGATTTTATATTGAGATTGTGAGAATTTGAGTGGCCTAAGGCCTAAAAGGGTGATGAGTTGGTTAAGTTTTGTACTAAGTGCAAAGGTTTGTGACCGTTTATGAAAATTACCCTTAAGTTTTGGGTGTTGAGCTCTCTTATCCGGTCTTTATCCGGTTTTTTACCTCAAATCAAAGCCCAAAGATTGGATTGGATTGTTTACTATCCGGTCCCGGTCCGGGTTATACGGTCCGGTTTCCGGTTTTTCATCCGATCCCGGTCCAAATAGCCAGCCCTACTAAATTCTTTACCCCCATATCTGAAGTTCATATAATAGAAAATAACAATTGACCGTTTAGATTGGCCGGAACTCATCAAAATACATCTAACGGTCGGGTCACTTGGAGTACACTGTACTTTTGGAGTATATCAGTATTTACCACATATATATATATATATATATATATATATATGGTGCCTTCTACGGTACCCCGGGTGAAATCCGGGGTACCGCATACCTTGAGTATGAAAACGCTATCTAGACCTCGAATTAGCATGATTTTTGGGCATGATACTATACCCTAACCCTTAATGAGTGAACCCTAGGTCCTAATTATCTAAATCATAAACTATAAACCCTAAGATGGAGCATTACTTTTTTTGCCTATATTTGGATGAATCATAACCGTCGATTATTGTTTCTAAGTAAATTGATCTTGGGGTATAAGATTTAGTGAATTAAGACCTGGATTTTGATCATTATGGGTTAGAGTATAGTATAATGTCCGAAAGATCAGTCAATTCAAGTTCTAGATAGGGTTTTCTTACTTAAGGTATGCGGTACCCCGGATTTCACCCGGGGTACCGTAGAACTCCCCATATATATATATATATATATATATATATATAGTACTAATGTACTCAAGTAAATATGTGAGTTTGTATACTTTAATGATAAAATGCATCTACTCAGGGTAAATATGTGAGTTTGCATACCTTTAATGATAAAATGCATGTACTCACGGTAAATATGTGAGTTTGCATACTTTAATGATAAAATGCATGTACTCCGGGTAAATATGTGAGTTTGCATACCTTTAATGATAAAATGCATGTACTCAAGGTAAATATGTGAGTTTGCATACTTAAATGATAAAATGCATGTACTCAGGGTAAATATGTGAGTTTGCATATCTTTAATGATAAATTGCTATCTATATCTTGAATTGATTAGAGTTTTCGATGTGATATGAAAAACTAAACCCTAATAGCAAAATTTAGGACCTAATTTTTTGATTCATATACAATGAGATTTATTTAATTAGAAATAATAATCGACAGTTCTAATTAGTAGAAACACTTCCAACCTACGGAATGTAACATCATTTAAAGAGTTATAAATTAAACTGACTCATTAGAATTATATTGTAGTATCCCACCCGAAAATCCAATTATTTCAAACAATAAACAATATTTTCTAACTAGTAATACCGCTTAGAATTATCCCGTGTAAAAGCCCCCCATATATTATAGGAGCCGCCATGTGTATTATTATCGTACCCGACAAATGGGTGTCAACTTGTGTGATGAGCATCAATATAAAGTGAAGTGAGCCAACCACCAACTTCAACTTGCAGTAGAATTTGGTTTAATTAAACTATTATCCTCGTGATCGTGGGAGCAGCTGGAGCTTTACTCAACTTGGCCTAGCTCTACCAATCGGATAGAGCAAAACAAACAATAAAACTAGAAGACTGATACGTAACGTACGTCAAGACCTGAAATAAATAAATAAACAATTCCTTCTCTGTCTTCACACGCTAACACTTGAATATTATTTGGAACGAACCCTATCTAATCTTCATCATCGAGGGAACAGCTTGAACTTCACTCAAGCAAACCCTAATCTTCAACCACCATTCATATCGTTAAAAGTTATTTATCGAGTTAAAATTACTTCTACAAAAGATTTTCCGCTCAAAATATAGATAGGAAATGATTTTACAAGTATGAAATAAAATTATAAGTCAAGACTTGAGATTTATATTGAATGAAGGCCCATAGACGCTCACTTCGGGACCCATTTCAGCCGATGAGAGGGCATCCGTTAGGCCTCTATCTCATCTTTCTTAGGGTCTCTGTCTCATCAATGGGGTGGGGATTTGTGCTTTCATAACTCAAACCAAATAAATAATAGTTCATATTATTGGGCTTTCTTCTCCTTCCCACACCAGTCCACGACCCACTACCCAAACATGTTCCCGCGAGACCCGTCCCGGTCCATGAAGTATTAATTAGCCCAGCGCAGGAATATAGCCCACAAAATCACAATCGGTGGGGTTCGTTAGCCTAGTTAGAATGACATGCGGGCAAGGCTATATATATTTTTTGGCTCGGCTAGATTTGCCTCGGCTAGATTTGGCCAAATAGTGAAACTCTTTTCATCCCTAGGACCGCCAGTAGAGTCGGTTGTCCACGAGGTTGTAAGTTCCCATACAGAACAGAACAATGGGTTTTGCTTAGAGTGGAGAGTTGTTTCCTAACTAATATAGCTCAGGCTATCCTTTAAAATCCCCTTACGAGAGAATGGAGAGCAAAGATCGACTTATACGAACGATAGCCAGGAATATCAGAGGACTACATGACCCTAAGTTTCCTGAAGCTCTGACTGTCATATTTAGTACTTCAGAGTAAGTCACATGAGTC